TATCTGTATAACCATTTGAATCAAACCTATACCTAATAATATGGAAAAAAACCTCCGAAAAAAAATTTGAGAAAAAAATACTGAAAAACCAATTTCACTTAAATTTTTGTCCGGAACTGTAGTTTCCATTATATTGTGCCCCTGTTGGTAAGTGGAAACGCAGCTGGCTGTTAATCAGAAGATAGATGGTTCGAACCCATTCAGGGGCTATGATCTCAATATTTTTATTGTATATAAGTGTATCGTAATAAATAAAAATTACAAAACATTTACTCGAGAGAACGACAAAAGTAAAAATTGCATCATACACCATCGTCTGTTTTATTATTTCTTCAGGTGAACTCCATAGAAGAAAAACAGAACGAAAATATTTAACTATTTACTTTTTTTTCTTTTTGCTGTTTTGATGGATTTTTTTTTTCTAGAATGCTTTCTCGATGGATTAATTAAGAAAAATCACATTTATACTGATAAACAAATATTGTTTTAATATGTTTTATTTTGCTAGAACTACTGCTCTAATCTTCATTAATCTATTGAATCGTCTTGTATACATTGATCTATTATAATTATCAAGTTTCTAGAAAGGTTTCGAAATGTTTGTGTAGTAACCACAAACTTTCTAATTTACAACGTAATTTGATCATATGATTGTCGATTTTCGACGTATGGAATTCTTTTGAGTTGAATCGTTTATGAATTTAAATATGTTCTATCAAATGAAATATGACTAATGTTTTGATTTTCGTATTTCCATTATCAGTAGTTTTATTCTTATTCTCTCCCTATAAATTTTCATTTACGAGTTTTTGTTTTTGATATAGTAGATTGCGTAATTCATATGTACAATTATATCAAAATCTTTTATTTGTCGATGATTTTTATGTCACATGGTAAGTATAAAGATCAATATTGGGTTTCAAACTAATTGATTTTCATCAAGCTCTTTAATTCATATTTATTGAAAAAAAAGATAGAATGAAGTGACATTAGAAAAAGAATCTTAAAATTTATCAAGTTTAATATTCGTAGGATATTCTCACTGTCGGTTGTCTTAATGGAACATATTGTGGAGAGCTAATCATTGCCCATGAGTAGTAATATGGTACCGTTCTATTGATGACAGGTATGCCATTGAAAACTTGTCCTACTAATTTAAATGAGTGATTTGGATGGAGAGCTTGTGCGCGTACAATACATTGATCACATAAATCATATGTATTGAATCCACGACATTGTTCACATTGATATCGAACTGAAGCATTGATTCGACCACAACCATCACAATACCATGATCCTGATGACATTATAAAATGTTTGTCAATGTAGGTTAAGTAATATTAATGAAGAAAGCAATCTGTATAGACAGAGAGTGTTGTCAAACATAAAAAAATCATTACAACATTAGTCTTATATATACGAACGAAGGAAAGATTGCAATCTAGACAAATCAAACAGAAACTCATGAATCAAAAGTAATAAAAATAATTTATTGTAGTTAATCGTCCGAAACCATTGCATTTAAAGACATTAGCATAAATCATATGACGAAGACAGCAAAATGGAACTGATATAAGAGTTGTACGCCAATGAGATGTGATATTTCCCATGAAGAAAAAGATACATTTCTATCAGAACTTAATACAAAATGAAAACAACTTTCGTTTTGATTTTTGAATTTCAAATGAGCCATGCCTTCATCTGGAGAAATCTAAATAAATATTTTTGACTCACTTCTTCGATTACGATAATGATACTGCACGTTGTTTCACACGCCCAAAAGTCATAAATTTAAAGCAGACACAATTACTGATAAATCTTGAGAATATCAGCAAAGTAATGTCGATGGTTATTTCCACTAGTCAGCCATTTATCAATTTATTTATGATTCGCTTGAGTCAAAGGTGTGTGCCTGTGATTTCTTTCTTTCCTTTGGTTGTACCAATAGATTGATAGCCCTAGCTGACCCTACTATCTAAACAGAATAGTCATGGTGGTTTTTTGTTATTTTCAGTCAGTAATCGACAGTAATGAATAATGCATAGAATGTCAAAAGACATACAATATAGATATAACAACTCTGCTTTAGATTTAATTCTTCTAGTTTTTTCATACGAATTCTAATTTAAACTGCAAAATATAGTCAATTAATATGAATATTATCAGTATTGGTCGAGATTCAAGATACGAAATACTCAGGAATTGCTAAGCATGAGAACACTTCATGATGAGTATGGATAAAAACCACTTAATACTTGTCTTTAAAAAAATTGATAACATTTGCTCATGGATTACAATGATCATAGACAATTGTCACAGATCATATGACAGGAATCTTTTATAGATCCATTGAGTGAGATATAAAATTATAGTATTAGCATACTTTTTTTCTAGAAAAGTTGACTGAGACACTCGCATCAAGTGGAAAAGATGAGCTGCTCGAAATTGCGAGGCAGTCTTCAAATTCTCAGAAAAACCGGCAACTTGACGTGGTTGTCAAAAACGAAATATTAGATAATCTTAAAGAAATTTACTTTACCTATGTAAAGCAAAAAATGCTTTTTGTGGAACAAATTAGGATTCTTTTCTTATTGCCACGCACCATGTCATATGAAGACGCCGTGAAAATATTTGACTGCTCAAAACATACAATAAAATGTGCTCATAGAATGCAGAACGACAATGACTACATGCTACAATCAGAAAAAGAACAGGCTATTCGACAACGTGTTGATTCCAATAAGATCAAACACTTTGTTAGCTGGTTGGTTGAAACTAATACTCTTGTCTCAGATCAATTTTATTTCGATTCCTCTCTCGGTCGTTAAGTCCATAAAGTATGCTAGCAAGTAAATTTTTGAGCAGCTGATAAGTCATATGCCGATTAACAATATATATTGCTCATAACATATTCAGATGCCCGTTGTTTCCAATATTTCTAAAAGAATTGAAATCTTTTTGATTGATAGGAACCTATGGGCTTGCAACTTTGCGTATGGATACCGGTGAAAAGATCCAATTATCCAAACAGATACTTCAATCCCAAAAATCACATGCTATAGCCAACTCTAAAAAAAATATTGCGGTGAAACGGGTTTTCAAAGCCTTGGTAATAGAAAATTATTTGATATTCTGAACGATCTAAAACGTGAGCAACAACGCAAAGTTGCTGGGTTGGACAACTTTGTAGTCGAAGGTGCTGAAGCATGGCTTTGCTTATCAAGTAAGTAAGCGGAAAATTATTGAGTTATGTTAATAATAATTCATCTTTCGAATATCGTTAGCTCAATGCCGATTCCACAAAGTGAAAGAAAACGACTGCTAAAACAGATAGAAATGGCAGAGCAGTATCAGAAGACAATCCATATTAGTCATTGTTCTGAAGATTCTGACTGTATTTCACATCGCACAACTTTTGAACTCAGCGATTCAAAATGCACCAAACAGCATCGCAATTGAACCCAATCGCCTACCTTTGATTGTCCCGAATGTATCAACATAGTCCATACATTCGATGAAATTCAGGAAAGAATTGATCAGCTAAGTAACGAAGAGATGAAGCGAGAAGCCAAGTTTGACTTTGAGAACGCAGCTCAACATATAATAGAATGGTCTCGTCATAATCTTCGTGCCGCACAACAAAATGATGCAAAGAATAAAGTCATTTCTAATATGGAAGAGGATGAGGCGTTTTGTACATTCAATTAGGGCCAAAAAATTTTACCTCAAGAGTTCAGAAAGAGCCAAAATACATATTTTTAGAAGAAAGGTATGTCGGTACTGATTGGTTCGTTTGTGTGGAAGAATTCAACAAAATATAAAGTAGTCACTGATTCTAACTCTCGTGGATTTCATACTGAGTCCTACATTCTTGCTCTTACGAATGCCTCTCAAACAGATCTTGATTCTCTCAGCGGAAGTGAAATTATAATCAAGCAATTCATGAAAGATTATCCCTTTCAGGACCGTGGTACAAGGGTTGTACCACCTATTTATCCAATACGAAAACTGTTTCATTTATACACAAATATTAAATTTTTCTACACTTAGAGGTCATGGGGTGCTTCATGTGTCATGTTTTACGAATCTTTTCTTGACACCGCATATATTCTTCCCAGACATTCACTTTTCGTTCTGTGATCGTGCGATGACGTCATAATTTCCCTTTCTTCCTCTAAAACGTGATTTTGCGAGAATACTCGAGAAGATTCTCACTATCTATTACTTTTGTTTGTGTATGTATATATATAGCTGTTCTTCGAAAAGAAGTTTAATTACTTCTATATTTCAATTATCAATTGTTTTTGTCATTGAAACGTCACAAATGGAACCTTTTGAGAACGATGAATCGGACGATGACTCACATGATTCATCTGCCAGTCAAAACAGCGATGAAAGTGATTTCAATTTTGATCCTGATGAATTAGCAGATGGTCTGGATGAACTTGAAATATTAAGTGAATATTCGACTGAAAATGAAATGGATGTTGATTCTATAAGTCAAAGTCATCTGGGTCAGGGTGGCTTTACGTCAATTTCTTCCAACGATGTAATGCCGATTTTAGTGTTCAGGAAATTTTTCACGGAAGAAATTTTTAATCTAATTGTCGATCAAACAAACATTTATGGGAAGCAAAAGAAACGAAGGATTAGTCGGAATAATACCGATCCCTGGGAGGATGTAATAACGAAAGATATTGAATCGTTTCTTGGAATAATCATCGTGATGGGAATCAATAGCTTACCGAGCATGAAGCACTACTGGAGTAAAGACAATGTTTTCCATAATAGCTTTATCTCTTCAATTATGTCAAGAAACCGCTTTCTCCAAATCTTTTATAATCTACATCTTGCTGATAATTCGTTGAAGCCAAAAAGCGGATCAACTAACTACAGTAAAATTTACAAAATAAAGCACTTTGTTGAAATTTTACTCAGGAACTTCCAGAATAACTATAAGTTTGGTCATTATGGTTCTATCGATGAAACTATGGTCAAGTTCAAAGGTAGATCAAGTCTCAAGCAATACATACCTTCAAAACCAATAAAAAGAGGCTATAAAATTTGGTGCTTATGCGACTCCATCACCGGTTACTTATTCAATTGTAGAATTTACCTCGGGAAAGAAGGAACTAGTGATAATGAATCACTTTTGGGCGAACGTGTCGTTTTCACCCTTATTGCTGATCATCATTTCAAGGGGAAACACTTGTATTTCGACAACTTCTTTACTTCTCTCTCTTTATTGGAAAAGCTAAGACGACAGAGAATAAGCGCCACGGGGACTATTCGATCTGATCGACTTGGTATTCCATCACAATTTGCTCTGAAAGAGAAAATGGAACGAGGTGACTACAAGTCGCTTGTCATATCGAATACCATTATCTTCAAATGGATGGATACGAAGCATGTTTTTCTGGCGTCCAATGACTGTGAAAATACTGAAATTATTACCGTCTCTAGGCAGTTGAAAAATAAACAACGAATCGAAGTTGATTGTTCGAAAGCAATAGTGGACTACAACAAATTTATGCATGGAGTTGATAAATTCAATCAAAGAATATCCTCCTACACTTTTGATCGAAAGTCAAGAAGGAACTGGCTTCGCCTTTTCTTTTTCTTTTTCAATACATCTTTAGCTAATTCGTATATCTGCTACAACCAATTATAT